TCGGTGTTTGAACACCGTTGTCTACGCAGCATTGCACGAATCTGGTGGGGTAGCAGGACGAGCAATCCTGAGGTTAGGCGCAGAGTTTTGGGTGTCCGCTGTCGCCAACTGGAGCAAGTGGTCGAACTCCAAAGATTACGTTGGTTGGGGCATGTGTTACGCATGTCACCAGATAGGTTGCCGCGGCGAGCGATGTTCGCCGAAAGAGACACCGAGCGGAAAAAAGCCAAGGGTGGTCAAGCTAAGACCTGACACGAGGGTATGAAAACCGTAACCAGGNNGGTCCTGTTAGGCTCACTGGCGGGGGCCTCGGGATGATCGTAACTGATGGTTAGCGACACTGAGTGATATGGCTGGGTGTCGTAAACGGTGGCGTTCGTGCATTTAATTTCTTTACACACTTAGACCACTGAACTTCTCCATTTTTTGTTCGACTCTAGCTTCAACTTTCCTTTCTTCTATTCTTCATCTAAATGGGTAGCCAAAAGAGAGCAACCCAAATCGGCGCACGAAGATGCGTGGTTATTGGTTGTACAAACTGGAACTGAACGGAGGATTTGGTTCAATTTCAAAGGTGAGCACATACATAATTGCCAATATTGTGCCTTGCGCGCATAACAGAAAGTGGAAAACTAAAAATTTCCGAACAGATGACAAGGGCCATGCACCACAGTGATTTAACAGAGTAACCCAGAACGGTTTACCGCGGTGAGGATATTGGAATCCATACACCCAATGGTTGTTACACAACTTATCCCGGGATCACATAAAGTCAATCAGTGATTTTCGTCTCAGGGGGATAAAAGACTGATCTTTGGTGAGACTTAATCTAAAAATACACGAATTAGAGGATGGATAAATTGATGGAAAAAACATCTTCCCTGGTCCCCAGATCAAGAAGGATTCGTCAGCAAAAAAACGCAGAAAGGTCCCTCGGAACACATGCACTATCTGATTGGGATGAATGAATCATAATGCTCTGAGGTTAACGCCAACTGGATTCCTTTTAGACATTTTGAAGTCAAACCCATACCCAGCGGGATCACTGAACAAAAGTTAGATAATACCAGATTGCGATGGTGGGAGAATGAAAACGCCCAAAACGAGAACCAATTAGGAATTATGAAACCAAATATTTATTTCTCATTCTGAATATCGTATTGGGTAGGGTTTCCCGGAGTTCTGCAATATTATTTATATTCCTTCATGTCTCTTGTAATTTGATGCAACGCCACACGTAGGCATGTATGCAACATTATAGTTTAAGTGACAACAATCAAAGGTACATACACTCACATAATAAGATCGCATCAAGCACGATAGTTTCGAAATCAATCAGCTCTAACACTCAGAATGTACAGCACAAAACTGATATTCTACAGTTCGATCGAAATGACCTGAAAGAGCTAATTTGGAAAAGCTTTCCAATTTGATTCTGCACGTCAAGTGGAGCTTACGTAATAGAGGAACATATCGTTGTTGTGTTGCAATGAACTTGTTCCTTAGATTGAGTGAGGTATCTATGTGGGATGTCGCGATACGTATCAGATTAGTTATATTCATGTGAAATTTCTCCTTCACAAGCAACTTCAAGAATTGACGTGGCAATTGTCCAGAAGAAAAACAGTCCCCGTGAAAATGAACACGAGTTCGTTCGACAGTGGTTTAACAGCGCAATGTGAGCTAACTATCAAGACCTCGCGTGGTAGAAGCGGGGAGTTTACGATTTAGGAATATGAGACACTGGATCCCCTTACGCACGGTATCAAGAACGAAAGAAGATATATGTCGCGAGACGTTAACATTTCGTTTAGTCTCCTCAATCGCTGACGTAAAACAACTAAGCACAGAACCACCCGGCATTTTCTGTTGTTGTGGGTGAAATACCCTTTATTACTTCTAATAACCCCTGTCCATCTGTACATGTCCGTTTACTAGGATTTGCAAATCCAGTGTGCTATACATGTGTTTAATTGTTTCAAGTCAGTGATTGAGAAGATTGAACGAAATGCAAATGTCTAGCGACATGTCTTCTTTTGGTCTTGATGCGGTAGTGCTCATGCTTTGAAACTTCTGGAGGCGGAATTTGATGTACAAACTACTGCTCATTTCTTACTTCGATTACAAACGAACAGCGTTCCTTGATAATGCGAACATTCCAAAAACGTGTAGATGTACCAGGGGGAAACCACGATAACAGTTGATCTATCTATCTAGATAGAGATCGAATAAGAGCATTACAACTGAAACCGAGAGAAAAAATGGTGTCCTTCGATGTCACATCTCTGTTTACAAACGTATCGACACAATCAGCTCTGGAGACCATACGGAATCTGATAACAGATGATCCTCGTCTTCCAGAAAGGACACCACTATTGGTGACTGACACCATGGAGCTGCTTGAACTCTGCATGGAAACATACCTACAGTTTGACGGGAGGATATAACAAGTGAAAGGAATTCCAATGGGATCACCAATATCCGGCCTACTGGCTGATGCGGTGATGAAACAATTCGAAAACAAGGCATTTGCAGAATACCACCCTCGTCTCTGGGTTCGATATGTGGACGACACCTTTGTGGTGCTATCGGCAGAAAGAATCGAACAATTCCATGATACCAGCGATACCAGGGATAACGTTTACCTGTGAGGGGGAAAACGACATGAAGCTCATTTTCTTAGACATCCTCGTCATAAGAAAACCAGACGGAAACAGAAACCACTGTGAACAGAAAACCCACAACGACAGACCAGGTGCCGAACTACGACAGCAATCACCCCACATGTCATCTTAGGAGTTGTGTAAACACTTTATTCCGCAGTGCAGACACAAATTGCAGCACAAAGAAACTTCGGCATCAGTTCCATCAATTCCACACAAATGAATGCCCCAAAAGTTTCGTCCAATCATGCCTAAGAGAAAAAACCGAAGGATGAAGAGAAGAAAACGAAACTCTTATTACCATACATACGTGGGGTACCAGAAGCCGTTGATCGCACCCTTCGCCCGTTTGCTCACAAACCTACAACAACGCTGCGGACAATCTTGATCAACGGCAAGGACAATGTAAAACCACATGACCAATCAGGGGTGGTGTACGCGATTCTGCACCTAGACTGCGACCAACAGCACGTTGGGAACCCTAACCGGAGCCTTCGAATCAAAGTCTGACCCACACGGCAGTGGCGCGTAAATCCAAAGCGGGAGCGTGAACGGAGCACATATATGGGAGCTTCTTAGATATAGTGGAACCGTTAGCACCATCACAAGGTTTTACTTACCTTCTGACCTGCGTAGATCGTTTCATGCGTTGGCCAGAAGCAGTTCCGATCACCGATGTCTCAACTGAAACCATAATTAAGGCGTTCGTTGAGTGTTGGGTAGCGAATTTTGGTTATCCCACTACGTTGACTAAAGACTGCGGCCCTCAATTCGAGTCTGAATTACTCAACTCACTAACAGCCATGTTAGGGTGTCCACGTATAAGCACCACAGCATATCACCCGGCTATTAACGGCCTTATCGGAAGTTTTCATCGGCAACTTAAGGCTGCACTTAGTGCACATTCCATCATTTCATGGACGGAGGCACTCCCGCTCGTCCTACTTGGCACAAGAAATGCCATCAAAGACGACCTCAAGTCCACGCCGGCGGAACTAGTATGTGGGACTACACTCCGTCTTCCCAGAGAGTATATTTCGCAACACAAAACTTCACTTCAAGCATTGCTGGATTACATCCAAAAGCTTACTCATCACACGCGTGAGCTACCCTCAGCCGTCACACCTACAGCAAAAACAAGCAGTCTTCATACATCAAGACTTGCACACACGTTTGGGTCTGTTGCGGTGAGGTACGCAGAACCCTACAGGCTCCATGTGATGGCCCTTGCCGCGTACTCCAACGTTACGAGAAACATATGGTCATCAATAGGAACGGCAAGTATATATATACATATATATATATATATATATATATATATATATATATATATATATATATATATATATATA